TTGACTGCTCTGGTATAATCTAACGGGTTAAGGACCAAAGATTCCAATTCAGGAAACTTTTTAGCATAATGATCTCTATAAACTAAAATAATGATTAGTCCAGAAGCCAAAGGAATTTTTATTACATTAAAACAGAAAATCTATACCATATGAACTAATAAAATCTCGTTATCAATGTCTACTGTCAAATTATTAGCCTGAACTATAAGCTTATATTCCGGATCTTCTACAACAGGTCCCATTATTTGTTGAGAACGATTTGTATCTTTAAGTTTTTCAATTTATAAGTAAAATAAAAGGTCAACAAAAACCAATTAAAAAACAACAAATAAAGGAAATATTTTATAAACTAACCGTTAGGACCTCTCTCATTTGTCTAGATCCAAGTAATTTAGCCACTTTCCTCACATCTTTAACAGATTTCATTTCGACTTCTAGGTTCACATTTCTATCTTCTTCTGAATCATCGATCTCTTTCATTTATTCTAAATCTTCTAGATCACGCATAATCGCGTCGTCAGAATCGTTATGTTAGCTTTGATCATCGTCAGCATCTTTCTCATCATGAGTAGATATAAAATCAGGATCAGCAAGTAACTCTTCTGCTAAAATAAAATCCTTCAAATCTTTGATTAAATCATTGAAGAGAGAAGCGACTCTAGCTCAGAAAGCTTCATTCTATGATAAGGTCAAGAACCTTGCTCTTAAAGCTAATATAGTTGAGTTGAAAGGTAAGTTGGAATGCCTGAAACTAGAATGGAAAGGTTTTATCACATATATCTTTCAATCAGCTGTAAATAATATTAAAATCAGCCTAAATTCAATTATATAATTTTCAGCCAATTTGGATTATTTCAAATAGTGATAAATCATAAGTATCATTTAATTCAGAAGAAAATCTGCAACTTCTGATGCTATTGTTTTATTTTATTATCTTATATCCTTACTATATATACTTAAAGTTTTGAACAATTCAGATTAATCTAAAAATTTCCAGTTCAGATCAACTTTAGATCAATTTTAGATTGCAAAAAAATGGGTATCAATCATTTTGCATTGACGATCGATATCATGGTACCGCACTTTTATTTTAAAAGATAATTGCTGAGAAAAATTTTTAACCGATACACTTAAGATTATAAGCATATATAGTCCGCATTAGCAATAAAATTTCTCTGTTTATTTTTTTTATTAGTGTTAATTATTTTGATCCTTTATTACATAAATACATCACGCAAATATATTCATTCCATAATTATACTAAAACATACAGTATACTCATATATCTCGTAAGTACGCTGGAATCTTCAAAACATCACGAACGCATTTACCCTCGCAGGGAACGAGAATACGATCAATTTTATCCATAATTGCCTTCTGCTGGACTATCTCATCCTAAGAATAGCAAAAATAGTCAAATATAAGGACATACAAATTAATTATATAATATATTTACACTATTCACATACATGGAAAATAGCCATCAACCGAAAGACTGCCATGTACTTTGACCTTGAATGGAAATCAAACGGCAATTCTGCAGATACAAGCTCATATGTAAAAAATATGCCGTCTTCCTGCATGCTAAAGGCGTACATTGTCAATCTATGTGCTAAAGGATTAATGAATATAATCAGTATTTTGATTTTATACAAAACAATGCAATAAAAGACATGCCTATAACTTGTGTGCTGAACACTTTAATATCTTTTGCAATTTTCACATCGAGGTCAAGATGATTACTTAGGACGCCAACCAAATTCAATATATCAGTTTGTATAGATTTTTTCGTGTCACCGACGGTATGATGATTTGTAGAAGTGCTGGGTGGCCCTGAAACTTCCATTTGCCAAATTTCTCTGTCAACTCCGATTAAAATCCCTTTGTGTCAAATAGTATTTAAATCAGTAACTAAATACAGTAACAATCATAGAGATTAGTGCATACCTTTGAGCAGGGTTGGGAAATTAGTACAGTTAGTACAGCTTAGTACAGTTTAGTACAGTTAGTACACATAATAATTAATATAA